ACACAGAGACGAGCACACCGCAAACACACCCACGTCTGCCCTTCTCACTGGAAAGCAGAGAGAGCACAACACACTTAAAAGCACCGTTAAACAGAAAAAAATAAGCACCAGGCCCCAGCCTCGCTCTCGGAGCTGCCTGGAGTGTTTTGTGCAGGCAGCTGTGAGGGAGCGGAGGGAGAAATTCCGCTTCCAGGGTGAAAACACGGAGCGGGGACCAGCCTCACCAGCGCACTGGCTCCGGAGGACGCTGGGGAGCGCTTGAGGATCACTGCTCCTGGCAGAGAAGGTGGACGTGCGTGCTCGAGCCCGGGAGTGAAGGTAAGAGCGAGATCCCACGGCGCGGAAGAACCATAAACCAAACAGACGATTCCGGCTCCTCCAAAGAAAACGCTGCGCTTCACCCCTCGACGGAAGAGGGCGCGCTTAACCCGGTAATCTCATTAGCCTCCGCTGCGGGCCAGGACTAGACCGGCGCAGTCTCCTCTGCTCAAGGCAAGGCTCTACAAACCAACACCTTCCACAACCCACAGAGGAGAAAAAATTAACACAATACAGAATCGTTGGAGGACATGCGGACAACATCTACACTTAGAAAACGGAAACTAAGAACAGAAATGGGCTGGCCAGTGGTGGTGCACACCTCAAGTCCCAGCACTCGGGAGGCAGAGGCAGGCAGACGGCTGCGAGTTCGAGGTCAGCCTGGTCTACAGAGCCAGTTCTAGGGTAGCCAAACTTACAGAGAAACCCTCTCAGAAAGAAAGAGAGAAAGCGAGAGAGAGAGAGAGAGACATAAAGTAGGAAGGGAACGAAACAGAAACGCCTGAATTCAGGAAATAAATGAAAGAAAAGGACATTGGAAATAATCTATGAAAGACTAGATTTGAATAAAATTTAATAAAAGACAGTAGAGAAATTTTACAAGTAAAATGAGATTTTATTCTTTTCAAGACAGGACCAGGCTGTCCTCAGACTCACAGACATTTGCCTGCCTCTGCCTCCAATAGCTGGATTAAAGGCCTGGCCTAAAATGAGATTTTTTTTCCCTAAAAAAGCACAAAAGGTCACAACTAAAATGGCTGAAATGAAATATGGGCAAAAGGTCCAACATATGTATAACTAGGGTCTCCAAAGGGCTTGGGGGCATGAGACAGAATTAATATTTAAAAGTATAATTCAGGTGGTAGTGTACGCCTTTAATCACAGCCCTCGGGAGGCAGAGGCAGATGAATCTCTGTGAGTTCAAGGCCAGCTGGTCTACAAAGTGAGTTCTAAGAGAGTCAAGACTATTACACAGAGGAACCCTGTCTCAAAAAAAGAAAAAAAGTATAATTCAAGATAATCTTACAAAAATAAAAAAAAGATACTTGAATATAAATATTGAAAGGAAATTCAATTCTAAGTACCTAAAATAGCTGGGTCAGAACAATCTCAAAACGTATCCAAATACAATGATTACATTTTAAGAATAAAGGAGAAATCCTCAGGGGTTCCCATGCAAGAAAATACCCAACGAGGATCAGTGGAATCACTGATTAAAAGTGATTAAAGGAATCACTTTTCAATGAGATGAGAAGGTTATATACACATTTCTATAGTTTCATTCTCTGGAAAGAATGTCAGCTTCTACCTGTACTAATGCTTCTAAGTTTTTATCAAACTTGTGCTAAAAATTGACACACACGTACCTGCACAACCCCGCTGAGAAGAATGACAGGACACACACATTCTCACACATAACGTGATGTGGCCTGAGGTCCCCAAGGAAAGTTATTGCTACCATCCGAATATCACCAAAAAGAATGGCCAAAAGAAACCTACTATTCTGAATTAAAACCACAATTTTTATAACTGCTCTACAAACAGTGTGGTCATTTCTATTACCTAGATCCATCCAGATAGTTTTCAAGAAGCATAAGTTGGAGAAAATGCAGAGTTAAAAGGTTCAAAGTTGAGAGGTTTTTGTTGTTGTTGTTATATTATTAGAAATGTCTCTTCAGATAAAGTCGGTATCTGGTTTCCATGAAAAAGCTCACGCTATCGGTGAGCCGCGACATTACACAGAGAAGTGGGGTCCACTGTACTCTTCGGGCAGATTCCCACAATCCTCCTGGCTCAGCTCTGCGGTCCAAGCTTCCACGCAGAGAGGTAAGCAGCAGTGACCACTCAGAGGCCTGTGTTACTCCGCTAACAGAACAGTGGCGTGGGAACTTAGGAACAAGATCAGCCTCACGTCCGACGACTCCTACATGCACCAGATCTGAAGCTGAAAGCAGCCATATCGCTGCAGTCATACCTGAGTGACTTAACTCACTAGCCAGAGCCAGAACTACAGAGAGCAGGCATTTCTAACGTGTCTTTCCAGACACAATCCATGTGTACGGACAACAAAAAACTGCCTTACAAACTCCCCGTGAAAAGCTGCTCACCCACTGTCCTAGTCACAGGACACCCTGGAATCAGAAATTCCCACCTCATGTTAAGGGGAAAATGCACTTGTGAAAATCCTGCAGTGTTAAAACCTTACAGACAACGGCATACCTCCCTTTCTGACCTATCTGCTAAGCAGATCACAGAATTCCAATGTTGAACTCAATGAACTATAGGAACCTATACGAAACCTGAAAGCAGTGTGAGCTGCTTTCCTAACGCAGGCTCTTGGGACGATCATGGATGTTTGTGTTCAAGCCCCTGATGTCCAACAGCACAGGGGTCAGTTCCCTCGCTCAAGTGTGCTAAGGGTGGCCTCTTCCTTGCCACACTCGTTCCACAAAGGAAAGGACAATTCCCCACTCATTCAGCCTCAAGGAACGGTGACTACCCGGCCTGGTGGACAGGAAGATGCCATTCCTTGAGTCACATTTCCTATTGCATAGAGTTCCTGGCTTACAGGTTATTGAGCAAACAAGATGCAGAATGCCGATCCCTGCAGCGGTTGATACCTGATGCACCCAGCCTCCAAGAAGTGGGTGATAGGTTATCTGCTCACTGCAGTCCCCTGCTGCTCTGCCCAAGACCGGCTGGATAGGCCCACTACATCTAAACCTTCTCTACAATAACAGTATCTGTGTTGAGGGTCAGTCTGAGAATTGCCCAGAACAGTAACGATGATACTTTGTCTATTGATCCTGTGTAACCCCATGTGGAAAGAAAAATTAAAACTCAGTTTCTAGCTACAAAATGTGAATACACCAAATGGGGTAGTATTGTTTTAGCCACATGCAGCTTAGCTACTTCTGGCCAATTACAAGGTCCATGTATGCAGAGAAACGGAAAGGGAGTGAGGGAGGGAGAGAGAGAAGGAGGGAAGGAGAATCTAATACAAAGGCCAGAGCTGCCTAAGCAAGGCACACAGTGTAGGGTCTCTAAATCGGGAGCGCAGAAATAGAGAAAGTGGGTATTTAATTAGCCGAAAAAAATATACCAAGCAGGCCAAGTTTTGGCATACTAGCTTCTTGGACATGAACATATAAAATTGTTCTAGTGATCCTTCCCTCCTCCTCTCTCTCCCTCCCTCTCTCCCTTTTCATGTCTCTGCATGCATGGACCTTATAATTGGCCAGAAGTAGCTCAGTTGCACGTGGCTGAAACAATACTACCCCAGATGTGGACTGCAGAATCAGGAGGGCAGAGCTTGCTAGAAATCGGACTCTGTGCACATGCCTGTGCCTCCTGACCTGGAACTCAGGCCCAAGCTCATGAACCTGTGCTTTATGGACTCTCCTGGTAACCCCAGACCTGCCAACATGTGACACAGACAGTGTATATCTTGAGTGTTACAGTCTCCTAAGTGCCAAAGCCAAACTGCTCCCTCCCCCCATGAGCAAAGTGAACCAGAGACAGAGGTCCCGGCAAGGCAGGCCCTTCATAGGGGAAGAAAGCCTCTTTCCCCGGATGCCCTGGAACATGACTGTTAAACCCAAAGAACTAAGGAAATGGTGGAAGGGGGCTCGGCAGTTCAGCAGAGAATACTGGCCTAGCTTGTGCACAGTCCTGGGGGTGGGGGTGGAGGGTTCTCTAAGGGGGAGAAGAAAGGAGAGAGAGGAAAGGAAGGCAGGAGGGAGGGAGGAGGAGGAGGACGGTATCAACCCCATGTCCCTCTGCACTAGCCGGGAGCTGTGTATTTAACATCTCCGGCTTCTATGTGCTTCCAGTAAAGCCCACAAAGGAAGAGTTTCCGAGGAGCAGGAGTGTCATTACACCGCTATTCTGAGTCAGAATGCTGGAAATAAGAGAATAAAACATTGGACAGAAAGCAGTTTTTAATATACCATTCTGCAGAAAAGGGACTAAACAGTGTCCTGATTTTGTTTTTTAATCTTCGGGAAGTTTCTGTCCTCCTTTCCTGTAGTCTGGAGCCGGCACAGGTTCTAAACCTCCTGTCTCGTAGGCTTGTCAGCAGACAATCTGGGGCTTAAAGCTGCCCTCTCCCCTTTTTTTGATCCTGGTCTCAACCAAATGGAAATTTTCTAATCCCAGAGGCCTGAAACAGACCCAGCCTCCAGCTAGGAGAGGAAGGGACCTAATGCATCCCATAACTCCTACACACTCTAGTTCACCCCGTGTTAGAAATGGACCCATTCTGTAAATGAGATCATGTCCCTGCATGGCCCAGCATGAACCCACTTGATTCTGCCAGTGCACGATGCAGTGGGGATGATATTTCTGTTTCCTGGAAGATGTTTCTAGTCATCTCTATGGATATTTTCAAAAGTAGAGACATTTCGAATTTCAAAGGAGAGACTAAGGACCTTCCAGAGTCCTCACTCTAAAGCTTCCTGGAATCCCACGCATAAAGCAGTAGCTCTGCCCAGACCCTCTAGAAGTCAAAATATTATACGAAAGGACCGAACGGTAGAATCCGAACACTAGACAAAGCTGGTGCTTTGTTAGAACTGGGACACAGGGCTCTTGACCCTGTCCTTTATGCTCTCACATTGTACTGTTCAACTCTCGATTCAAACTTGTCCTGGGGTACAAAACAGAAAGGCATCCGTGCCTACCTGTTGCTGCGGTTGTTACGGTCATTTGCGAAGAGTGTGGCTCTGTGGGCTGCAGAAGGGTGACGTTTATCATGTAATCAGTGGCTGGGTACAGGTCTAAACACACTTCTGGAGCTTGGTCTCCTGTTGTGAAGTTAAAGACGGCAGCGTGATAAAAGTTCTCCAGATACCACCTCTGGCCCAGAACTCTCACCTGTCACAAGATGGAGAGATAGTTGGATTAGCTCCCTGTTGGCTTGCAGCTTTCTAGACTATAAACTGACTGGAGGTTCGACAAGAAACTTCCTTCTGTTAATCTTAGAATTATCCTTAAGATACCACTGAGTTGCTGAGGGCAACCTTCACAAGGCTACTGCACCTATCCTACCCAGTTTCCCTGTCAGGCAGTGTAAGACTAAGATTAAACTGCATAATCAGTGACTGGCAGGAACACGCACATCTCAGATAAACAAGGTGGCAGGCTATTCCAAAGCAATCCCTTGGTGCCCACTCAAGTGAAGACTGGACTGAAGGTACTGAGGAAATCCTTTCAATCTTTTCATCATGAGGAATGCATAGACAAGCTGCACTATGCAGGCACTTAAGCATTATGAGAACTACCCCAGGCTACGCCTTTAAAGCAGCCGTGCAGTGTCGTTTCCCTTGCTCCTTCCCTCCCATCAGAGCCGGTAAAAGCTGCCGGTCATGGGGGGGTCACACCTACTGCCGTCTGAATCATGCCACTCAAGCAGTAGTGAGTCATGAGGAAACACTTTTGTGAAGATGCCAGAATCATAGGACCAAACATTATCAACCAGCACATTCTATCTGGTGACACTGTGAGTTGAATGGTTCAATGGAAGCTCATCTCATTGGCTCTACCTCTCCCCATCCCTCCTCATTACTTTCAATCCCCGAGCCATCCTCACAGGCCATCCAAGACATGGATAACTGGCTCATAAGATTCCTATCTCATCCAAGTCCTCCAATTCTCTCGGATAGTGTAGGCACTTAGAGAAAATCCATCAAGACATGGCCTTGTGCTCAGTGCTGTGAAAGTCCTCCACCCCACTCCAGCCAGCCACAGCCAAGCTCAGGTCTAGCCAGCGTCACCAGCAGGGCTGAACGCAAGACCCCACCATGCCCAGGCTTCCTGACGACCCTCTAACAAAGGATAATGTGCTCATGTGACATGAACAACGTGTAGATCATCTTCTGCAGGCAGCTTTTGAAGGCTCACTTTTCCCCAGTGGGTTTAACTATAGTTCGTGTATTACATAACTGGATCTTTGACATACTGAAAGTCCAGTTTCTTTTCCCATTTTATGTATTCTTCAGTCATTTTAGTGTAGGGGGTGTGGCGTGTGCACCTGCGTGAATGCCAGAGCCTGCGTATCTTCTCACTGAACCCTGAGCACACACGTTCGGCTCGCCGGGCTGGCCTGCTGACTGCACATGCCACGGTCTCTGGCCCTTCGGTGGTGATGGGATCCTAACTTAGCTCCTCATGCTTGGGGCGGCAAGTACGTTACTAACTGAGCCACCCCCTCTCAGCCCCAAAAATCATTTGTTTTCTTAATCAAGTATTTGACTAGCTATAATAAAAGTCCTTTCAGCACTACTGTGATAAGCCTTCTTAATCATAGCATAAACTATTTGGGTCCTTGAATGTGTTCCTTTCTCAGGGCCCTTTCTAAAGTGAAAACTTAAATACTCGCCTGCTTAAAACCCTCCGGTAGCTCCTCATGAGCATTTAGACTCAAAGCAGAGAAAACGAGGCTTCTCACCGTCCAGCCACTATTTCGATTTCCATGTCCCCTCTTCCTACCTGCTCTTCTTTGCCTTCTACGTTAGCTACTTTGTTATTGTACCCACAACCCCCTTTTTCACCCTTGCTTAGACAATTCCCACTCCTTTCTATGATACAATGTAGTTTTTGCTTCTTTAAAAATTACACCTTGTCAGGGAGAAGTGAAGAGATGGCTCAGCAGTTAAGAGCACTGGCTCTGGCCGAGGACCTAGGCTTGATTCCCAGCATGCATATGGCGGCTCACAACTACCTGTAACTCCAGTTCTAGGGGAGCCAATACTCCACTCCTGGCCTCCGTGGGCATAAGGTACATATATGGTGCACGTGCATACATGCAGACCAAACATACACACTAAAATAAAACAGAAACATTTTGAAATTACACCTGAGCACAAGCACACACACACACACACACACACACACACACACACACACAGTGTCATTCTGTTATTTACTGCATTTTCATCAAAGACTCACTGTATCACGTTACTGTTGCCTGTTCATCTGTGCATTCCTATTTGTTAGGATTGAAACCCCCAGGTCATAATTTATGATATTCTTTTGATAAATGTTTATGGAATGAATAATTAATTTTAACTTTATTGTACTCTTCCAGAGTTTTCAGGCATGAAGTAACACCAAAGTGAATCCAAGTTCCTTCTTAAATTTGCTTTTGATTTGAGTTTGGGTATAGAAGAAAACTGAAGTTAAATGAAAGCCAGTGGCCACACAATGAGCTTCTTAAAAAAAAAAAAAAAAAGTCCTATGCCCCATGTGTGGATTTGAAAGCAAAGTAGCATATACATATTAAATGCTTTCAAAAGTAAGTGTGAATTCGTAGGCAGGAGAATGACAGAAAACCATCAAGTACGCAGTCCATTCTTTCGACTGAGTTCCTCCTCGCCACCGTGAACTCATCTCCAGAAGCAGCGACCACGAACAGTGCAGTCAGCCCAGGGGGAGTCTTTACCTATTCTGGATCTTCCACCGGAGATAGCCCTCACTGTAAGCAGAATTGGGGGTTTACTAAAGACATTTAATGTAGACTTGCTGCTAGGACACACCCCAGCCTGAGCGTGGGCTCTGCAAAGAAGGGTCACAGATCATGAAAAAGACACGTTTGGTGAGATTTTCAGTTTGGGGTTAAGAGTGAGAGGACGCTCAGGGGAAGAACAAGTCACCCAGCTTGGGGGACGAATCCCTCAGTGTTTTGAATGACTACTTCAAATGACTACTCAGACAAGAATAAGGGAACATCTTACTTGGTACATTTGTTCTGATCCAACTTTCCTAGAATGCCTGTTCAACTTCAAACAAGTTTCATTAAACACTGAAATATTGAAAATTCCATCATCTTCTAGGAGATCATCTTCTAGAAGACAAGAGAACATATAAAAAGGTTGCATCACCAAGTGTGGCTGGAACACTTTCAAAGGCTGGTAGCGGGTTCAACACAGGGGCACTTAGTCTACATTTGCTGTTACAGACTTGGGCTCAAGCACTAGCTCCAGAGTGTTTTTGTTTGAATGTGGGTGTGGGTATGTGTGCATGCACGTGAGCGTGTTTGCGCTGTGTGTGTTCTCAGTTGCTCTGCACCTTATTCTTTGAGGCAGGGTCTCTCCATGAATCTGGAGCCCCCGGTTCTGCTCGACCATTTGGGCAGCAAGGACCCTCCTGTTTGTTTCCTTCCCAGCGCTAGGATTAGAGGCATGCACCCTGCTCCTGGGTGTTATGTGGGTTCTAGGGATCGAACTCAGGTCCTCAGGCTTACACAGCAAGTTTACAAACTAGACCACTTCCCAGTCCCTGCCTCTCTTCTGGGTTTTCATTTGTTTGGGGTTTTATTTTCATTTTATGAGTCTTTTGCCTGCATGTATGTCTATGTACCATATGCTTGCCTGGTGCCCTTGGAAATTGTGAGCTGCTATGTGAATGTTAGGAACCAAGCCTTGTTCTCTGGAAGAACAACAAAAGCTCTTAACCACTGAGCTGTCTCTCCAGCCCCTTCTTTTGTTTTTTGAAACAGGGTCTTACTTTGTAGCCCAGGCCTTCTTGAACTTGCTATGTAACCCAGGCTAGCCCCTTACTCATAACCGCTTTTCTTCAGCCTGCTGAGTATCAGAATTACAGGCATGGCCACCACACCCAGAGCTACATCTACTCCTGAGCTGTGTAAACTTGGCCATGGCAGGTTCAGAAGGATTTCTTCTGAGCCTTAATTTTCCCATTTCTGAAATGAACTTATCCTGCTTACTTTCCTACTTCATGGGCAGCTGAGAGAACTGAGTGAAACACTGAAATGTTGCCGTAAAACTGCGACCTTTGTAGACAGCTAGTTGTGCTTACAGATGGGCCATAATAAAATGTCCTGAAGCATATCCGTGGACAGACAGTTTGAGACTACGGGAAATGGTGTGTAAAACTCTACGGGCTGGAAGCTTCCCAACAGAAAACGACTGGAAAGTAGATGATGAGGAAGAAGATGCAGACAGCAGACAATTCTCCAGCTCCTTAGCTCTGCTCAGCTAAGGTGGTTAACAACCAGGAGGCAGGCCCCGTCCTACCAGTCTGCAGAAAAAGTCATTTCCTCCTTCCTGCAGGGCAGAACATTCCTGCAATCCTTTATTTTCTTAACCCAGTTAAAACGAAGAGACTCCAGAGAATAAATTAAAGAACTCACTTTGAATCTAGGAGTAACAAAGCAGTTTCTAAGGAAAAGCAGATTTCCTAACAAACAAGCTTTGACCTTTTCCACCAATCAGGAGAAGGTGGTTTGTTTGTTTCTTCTTTCTGTGGTGCCGTGCTCACACCCACCAGCTCACATGTGCACAGCATGCTCTGTCCTCTGAGCTACAGCCACAGCAGCACACAAAAGTTGAGATCTCTGTCATGGAGACTCTGGTTATAACCACTTTTAATATGTAAGGCTCCCTCGGGAGTCTGTGCCACCTGAGAAATATTTATGATAATGGCAAATTATTCCAGTCAAAATCAGGATTGCCCAAGGCATTTTCAATATTGCTAACACATGTAACACGAGGCAATTAGATGAGAGACGATATTCCCTACTGTAACTGGAAAGTGTGAAGATGTGGCTCTAAGAATTTGAAGACCTGTCGTATCTCCTTTATCCTCACAGTGTTTAAAGTTTTCACAAGGATATTGGAGGTGGGGGAGCAGCCATAGGAGTTTGAGGATCGGCAAATGTACACAGGTATGAAACTTAGGGCAGAAACAGCACATCATGTCTGTGGCCGTGCACAGACCCACAGACCGAAGACAAGCAGAGCTGCTGTCTGCAAGTTCCCACCCGAGACACTTCCGTGCAGCCATTACAGTCTGAATTCAGAGGAAGGCGGGGCCGGGAACAAAGGCTTCTGGCTTCTACTTCCCACACCCACTCCTGACAGAAGTGACTGAGAATAACTGAAAATGGGTCAAAATTTGCATCTGGGTTGGAAGGAAAGGTTGGTTGCCATATGCAAGGCGGGCACACGAGGACATCTACGCTTGGCATAGTGTAAAAGAGACCAGGCGATGGGGAGGCTCGAAGCAGCAATCCGACCCGCCTTCCAAGCCATGAGCATGCTCTCCAAATTTCAAAGGAAGGACTAGAGAATTTGAGCCCATGAGGAAGCCGGACAGGCCATAGGACAAGTCTGGGATGGACGCCTTGTGGACCACAGTTAGCCCTTAAATTTAACTGCACATGAGAACCACACAGACCCAACACCTCTAAAGTGGTGCTTGGACATCTTCGGAGTGTGTTTTAAAGGTCACCAGGAAAGTACTAACCAGACCCAACCCTGCTTGGCTTCATAAATCAGCTGAGATCAGGCACATTCTGGGTGACATGACCTTAGACTCACCTGGCAATTCTGAGAGGCAGTCAGGGTAAAAAGTCAATTCACTACCATCGCTAACGCCAATGGTCATTCCCTAGCACACTGGAGACCTCAGGACCAGAGAGTTCCATGTAACAAAAACCCCGGGTTGACGAGACACCTTGACCCTGCTGCTTTGGTAGCCCGCCGCACCATCATGAAGCCAGGCAGAGCTGGCCCAAGGCCAACAGCTCCACAGGTCAACACAACAAGGTACTCAGAAATTAAACTCAGGGGGGTCAGCCTCCCCACAGCTCCTCCTCAAAGGAGGCCAGCCTGCTCAACCATAAGAAAATCCTTCACAGGAACGCTGAGATAAGCATATTAATGTCATCCAGTGAAAAGCGAGATCAAAGGGAGGGTCACCCATCTTATGAGGAAGCATCAGGCCAGACAGAGCTTTAGCTTCCTGGGATAAGTAATCTAGAAGGCTATGAATGATTCTATCACTAAGAAAAGGGAAGGGGAGGGAGGAATGCATGCAAGGTACCAAGGGGTGTTTGCTTTTTTGTTTTTTAAGCAATGTGATAGGAAGATTAAGCAGTACCTATTCTACACTTTCAATAATAGTTTCTCAAAAACATCCAAATGATTCTAACGAAAGAAGAATGCACTCGAAAGAAAATGTTGAGAAAGGCAGAAATGAAAAAGAGAAAAAGCTGAGATTGCCCACACACTCCTCAAAGAGGAAATGAAAGTGCACAACAGCATTTTCGGTGCATTTTACACACACACACACACACACACACACACACACACACACACACACACACGTATACGGTAGGTATACATTCCCAGAAGAAAGCAGGGAATTCTGCATAAGTGTGTTGGAAAAAAAGGGGGGTGGTGGCAAGAAGAGCCAACAATCTGAGATGGAGATCTGGAGGATCATTCCCAGTGTGTGAACAGATCACCCCACCCCCCCACCCCCCGGGGCACTGGGAAGACTGATGGAGTGCGCTCCATCCCGCAGACTGAAGCTTCGTGAGGAGAAAGTTCCCTCCTTTCCCATCTGTTGACCTCAGTGCCTGTTCCCAGGTCAGGCACTTACCATGTGCACGAATGGCTGACTAAGGGTTTACAGCTACTGCTACAGGGAGCTTTTTTGATATCCACATGACAATCAGATTGCCTCATAGGATTAGAAACAGAGTAGGGGAGACTGAGGTGTGGTTGGACGTTAGAGCCTGTGCTTCACTTGTTAGAGATCCAAGGTTTATTTCTCTGTGCTCCTCCCCTTCAAAAAAAAAAAAAAAAAAAGACAGTCACACTTTTTTCAGACCCCCCATTAAGGCGTTAAATTCCACAGCCATGTGATCTGTTTACAGAATGCTTAAAACAAGTTTCTATTTCAAGACTTTATCTCCACTCAAACTCTTATTCACTGGTAAAGGCAACAAAAGACAGTCTCCTATCACTGTTGGCTCAGAAAGGATCCGATTTCCACGGTGAAAAAAGATAAAAATTGTCTTTTAAACAGGTGAACAGAAATGGAGCAAGAAACAGAGAAAGGGGCTCAGAAAGAAGGTTAAATGGCAGCTGAAACGTCACGATGAGCACCATGAAACAAAAATAAAGCACCAGACAAGCAGGAGAAATAAATCGAGGGGAACAGCTGTTTCCTCACCCAGAGAGAAAGAAGTTAGCGTTGTTGGAGTGCGTTATCACCGGTAAGCAGAGAGACACTCACTCAAATAGCTTCTTTTAAAAATGCAGTCAGCTGCAGAAGAAAAAGAAAATCTGCACTGTCCGACTCACTGAAAAAAACAAACAAACAACGTGGACGCAACAAAAAAAAGAAGAAAAGAAGCAAAAGACATAGTGGTGTGGCAGTTGAAAGGAAAAGAAAACGTTAAGAGGGAAATCATATCCCAGGAAGCCATAGCCTGAGTCTGCTAGCTTATCTGCTCAAGTGTCAGCCTTTCCCCAGAGTCGCTCTGTGCTCTGGCTCCTGGCGTTGGCCAAGGCAGCCACACCCAGCCGGCTTTTGAGGACAGTTAACAGCATGTTATGCAAAGCACAAAGAAATTGAGGAAGTCAGTACTGCATCCAAGTGCAGGGTAAAGCAAACAATGCTAGGCAGATAGAGTGAGCCATTTGCTGTCAGTGAGAGGAACGTGTGTCAGAACATAGGAAATGGCAGCATCAAATCATGCAAGAGAAAGCAATTAGCATCTACCAGAGAGATGGAGAAAAAGAAAAGAATTGCAGTCCCGGCTGATAACGTTTCTAATAACGCAGAAAGCAGGCAGACCGCACCCCGCCCACCGGCAAATGCTCACCCTCTCGTCCCGCATACTGCAGTGAAACAGCCCGATCAAGCAGTAAGGTCCGCAGGTGCCAAAACCCCGCAAAGTGTGTTAAATGTCTTAAGACTAGAAATAATTAACATTGAAGTGTAATTATGAAAAAGCAAAACCTGAAGGGATAGCTCAGCTGCAAGAGCCCTTGTTGTTCTTCAGGACCACATCAGAGGCCTCACCACCACGTGCAGCTCCAGAAGATCAGACACAGAAAAGAAAAACAAAGAAATGTTATAAAAAAAACAAAAAAAAGGCTGGAGGTGCAGCAAGAAGAGTAGAGGAAGAGACAGATGATCAACAAAGACAGTATTTGAAAATGTCATGAAGAAACCCATAGCTTCATACACTAATTTAAATATGTAGCCACGTGTTGTGGTGGTTTGAGTGAAAATGGTTTCACTCCACAGGGAGCAGTATTATTGGAGGTGTGGCCTTGCTAGGAGGAAGTGTGTCACTGGGGAAGAGGAGAGGGGAGGTTGAGGTTTCAGAAGCTCAAGCCAGGCCCCGTGCCTCACTGTCTCTTCCTGCTGCCTGTGGATCTGGATGTAAACCTCTCAGCTACCTCTCCAGCACCATGTCTACCTGCGTGCCGCCATGATGTAATGGACTGACCCTCCGAACTGTAAGGCAGCCCCAATTAAATATTTTTCTTTACAAGAGTTGTCATGGTCATGTCTCTTTATGGCAATAAAACCCTAAGGTATGCATATACGTATATGTGTGTGCGTATCTATCACACTAATGGTGTGATGTAATGCAGTTTTAATTAATTCCGAAACGGGGAAATCAGCACAGCAATTGTGCAAGTAGTGAAAGTAAGAGCAAAGAGAACATATATTAGCACGTTTTAAAATAGCTATTTAAGCCAAAGGAAAATCAGCACAGCAATTAAATCATGCCTTGAAAGTGAAGAAGAGGATAACTGACCGTGTCTCAGGAATTCTCACAACTTAAATCTGCGAGGGAGAGGGAAGCCTTCAGGACTTTTATCATTCAAAGGAAAATGTGGGAATGTGTTGAATTTTGCATTCGCTTAAACAATTTAAAAATGCTCTGGGCCAGATGACACATCTCTCATGCCAGCGCTAGTGAGACGGAAGGCAGGAGGATCAGAAGTTCAAGGCTAGCTACATCATAAGTTCAGCTACATCATAAGTTTGAGGATAGCCTGGGCTACATGAAACCATGTCTCAAAAACAAACAAACAAACAAAACCCCAAGAATTTACAAACCTAGCAATAAAATCAACTTAAGAAAAGCCTGGAGAGGGAATAATGAAAATTAGATGAATTTAACTAGGTAGAAAAGAGAAAATACAGTTTAGAAATCAGAGCCCGTTCTCCGGAAAAGAGAGACAGCCCGGCTGGCGGTTAGGAGCACTGGCCGCTCTCAGCGTGTACATGACAGTGTCCAGCCTTGTTCCAGCAGGAGGCTCTCACCGAGTGTAGGCCAGCCTTGTCTGTGTCATGAGATCCAAGACCTCCAGGGCTGCAGAGTGAGGTCCTGTCTCTGTGTGGCAGGTGTGTATGCGTGTTTGTGCGCGTGTGTGCGTGTGTCCGTGTGTGTAAAGTGGAGGAAGATATCTAAGGTCAATTTTTGGTGTCCGCACACGCACAGACAAATAGGCAGGCACCCCACCCCACCCCCACATTTTAAAAAAATTCTAGAAAACATTAACGGACAAAAGTCATGAGGAAAACTGACAAAGGGGTCGACAAATCAACTTTGTAAAGACATAAAGGATCCTGTGAGCAAATCTGTCTAATCGTGATAGAAGGGAAAATTCCAGAGTGATGTCAACTTTTCCAGCTCTGGGGACTGTGTCTGTGGTGTTTGCACGTTTACGTGGTGTATGTCTGTGTTTCTATGTGTGTGGAACGGAATGTGTCTGTGGTGTTTGCATGTTTATATCAGTGTACTGTGTACTGTGTGTGTGTGTGTGTGTTTGTGTGTGTGGAATGTGTCTCTGTGCGTGTGTTTCTGTGTGTGTGTGTGTGAGTGTGTCTATAGCTCCCTTGTTCATTTGCTGAGAAGTAGCATCACCTTGACAGCAAATCAAACAACAGGATGTGCAGGACTGAGTGACGGTCCTCTGCAATGATGCACAAATGAAGGCTGGAGCAGAGCTGGGGCATATTCTGCCTCCAGCCAGCAGGCCTCCACATAACCCCAGTTCTCGCCAGGTTACCGTGCAAGTGGAACCTATTTCCACTTAAACTTCCAACAAAACAGAGTGGGACAGAGACCAGGGACATCACACACCGGCCACAGTCATGCCCTATGCTTCTTATCTCCAACTTCAAAATCCAGAAAATATTAATAAACAGCATCAAGTAACACGAACTCACTTATGAGCACTTCTTCAAAGATAAATTTGATTTGCAGGCTTATAACACTAATGCAGACCACGGCTTCCACTGCCTTGAAAATAAAATTTCCTTAAACTCAGAAGGCCTTCCCCATACCGCCCCATGCCATAACTCGCTCACAGCCAAGGTGCAAAGCCAGGTCTACTTGATTCCCAAGGGCACATTTTCCCCCAGTGGAAAACTCCTTGAGGGGCAATCAGTATTTGTAAGAGCGGCTTCCATCCTGACCCAGGGACACATGTGTTTGAATCCTTTGATGACCCCCTTCAAGGAGACATATTCCTGAAAGCCCACAGGAGTTCACTCACTACAGTTTTCCTACTTAGTTCTGAGCTTTTCTTCACATTAAATACCTGAAGTAAAAGAAGTCTTACTCATTAAAAAAAATCCTAAGAGGCCTGACTTCCTAGCTGGCCTTACAGTATCTCAGCAGGCAAGCTGCCTTATTATTTGTCTGACCCTAGCTTGCCACATCCTGGTGAACGGGACAGCAATATCAGAGGAAGATTTCCTTAATGGGACATCAAACAACTGGTTACAGGTAATCAGTGGCACCAACTGCTGCTCAAAGTTTAACTTTAAAGTATTATTAAATACAAATTCTTTTAAAAAGTATTTGTTTTAGTTGTTTGTGTGTGTGTGTGTGTGTGTGTGTGTGTGTGTGTGCACATGTCGTGACCACACACAACGTCCAGAGGACATTGGAGCCTCTGGAACTGGCCTTCAGAGCTGTCAGCTGCCGTGTGTGCTGGGAGCTGAACCCCAGAAAGGATAGCAGGCGCTCTTACCCACTGAGCTGTTTCTCTGGTCCTGAAGTCTCTTTGGGAAAGAGAACTGGCTTGAGCTGTGGAGTCAGCTTAGTTGGCAAAGAGCCTGCTGCATTAGCCTAAACATCCACGGCTACACTGCTCTCCCTAACCGTGTCAATGTGTGTGTGTGTGTACACGCATGTGAGCCAGAGGTCAACACTGCATGTCCTGAATCATTTGTGTTGTGAGACACTCCCTCACCGAACCTGGGGCTCATGCTTTGACTGGCTGCCAGGGACCCTTCTGTCTGCCAGGGCTGAGATTTCAGGGCTCTTAACATAGGCGCTGGGGACCCAAACACAGCTCTTTATGCTGTGTGTCCAGAACTTTACCAGCTGAGCCATCTCCCAGCCTTATTCCTCCTCGTTCTGTTAGACATGGCCTCGCTTTGCAGCGCAGGCTGGCCTGGAACTCACTATGTAGACCAGGCTGGCCTGGAACTCACAGAAGCCCAATTAGCTCTGCCTACAGAGTGCAGGCACGCACCGCCACATCTGGCTCTTGCTCCTACTTCTTTTCTTGAGGTGGGTCTGGGGTGATATCGGGACAGGGTTTCTCTGTGTAGCTTTGGCTGTTGTGGACTCACTTTATAGACCAGGCTGGTCTGGAACTCATGGAGACCCACCTGCCTCTGCCCCACAGAGCACTGGGATTACAGGTGTGCGCCACCACACCTGGCCTGTTCCTACTTCTTAAAGCTCCTTTGGGTCCATTCCCAATTCAACAAATGGACCCTTCTGTACCCTAGGGCTGCCTCCTAGTCCCACTTAACCATTGCTACCCTGACTAGCCAGCCAGACCAGCTCATAGGAAGGAATTAGCTGACCTTTCAGCCTCTCTGCTCTTGCTCTTTCCTAAGCAAGGGAAAGAAAGGCCTGTTGGGCTCCCAGCAAACATCGGCTGTGAGACCCTCTATGCACTCCTGCGCATACCTGCAATCCATGACATCATCATGTAGTGTCCATTCTGTTACCACCCATTTCTCTCCAAGGACTCAGCTGAGAAACCATCTCCAATGCTGCTCAGCTAGATGACGAGAGAACAAGAGCCGATCCCACTATACCTGCTCCGGTTCTCCCCGTGGAGAAGCTTCATCCTTCCACCCACACCAGCAGAAAACCCCTGCCTGTTGGTTCCCCGTATCCTGTGCTCAGAATTCCCCAGGAGGAAATGCCTCTTCCCGCCTACCTACCAGCCACCTGGAATCTGAAGATGGCGGGCACAGAACGCCAGGGAGGGGCTGCAGAAATGCTCACGGTGGAATTGGCACGGTGTTGAAGGTCGAGGCACACTTCTGGGGTCCTGCTGTCTGTGGTCACACTGAGTGTCTCCTCGTGAATGGATTCCACAGCATCTGGCTGCTGTCTTTCAATGTGTATCTTTAGAAGAGGAAAGAGAAGGGAAAATCCATATGACTCTGGTCAGAATGACGATACTTCACCGTGCTGAGCGCTGAGTCTCTGTGGCCTCATCTTAGAAACTGTAACCAGGGAAGAGTGCCAGCTCTACCATGAGGACCTGGTTAGACACAGTCTAATCAACCCAGGGACTATTGAATCCTGAGCTGTGGCAGGAGCGAGAACTCTGGGAGTGCCACAGATGATCAACCATAAAAGGAGGTTCTGCTACCCATCAGCATATGCTTCCGGCCTTGCTGGCGGGGAGAAGGTGGAAGGCACAAGTGCCTGCAAGCCAGCACTGCCGAGAATAAACACAGAGGCATGTGCCGCTACCACACTTCGTGGGACAGCATATATACATCAGGCGCCCTAAAATCCCACCCACTTTTTAAAAGGGCAAAGGGACTGGAAAACAATTAGACAAACCACATTGAGTAGGTGGCAGCACTAAGCAGTATGACCCGGTTGTCATTTTCCTAGTTATAGAAGCATCATTGTTTTACCTTCATGGCTGCCTGTATGAATAACAGCATGTAAGACCTGTTAAAGAAAATAATTCTTTTCTAATGAAGGGAGGTTAAACGTAGAATCTAAACTTGTCTTGTCTTGGTGTTGGCTCTAACTGAAACACCAGTGTGTTTGCAAGAATCTTTGTTTAAAGAGGTGTCCCAAGAAACTTTACAAAATGAAGGATGTTCACCTCGACTTGAACATACAAGCAAGACTGTATACCAAGTCATATGCCAAGTGGTTACCTGTGCTGTCTCATAAGCTAAAATAGATAGATTGTTACTATTCATTTGCAAACAAATGTGGTTTCAATTTGACTGGAGGAAAGAAGGGAAAGACAGCAGAAGGGAGGGAAGAAGATGGCATGTGTGTGCATGTGCGTTTGTGTGTGTGTGTGTGTGTGTGTGTGTGTGTGTGTGTGTGTGTGAAGCTCCTATACAGGCAAGTCCTTCTGGCTCACACTTGCAGCTCTGCATTGCAAGGTAAAGCAGCTCACTTTACTTACCTTGTACATGATCTTGGAGCTTACTCTCTCTGGGCTTATTTGCCACCTCACACAGGAGTCATTAAACATAGACACATCATGAATTTCTATCGTTATTTCTAGAACAGAAAAAAAGAAAGAAAGAAAGAAGAATTGACTCATGAACCACAGCAGCAGGCTTTAGGGAAATCCTGGTGGACTCAGGGCCTTATCCAGCTGGCATCTCTGCCGCTCACCAGTCACTCTCTGGTTCAGATGAGGAGCTGAGCAATCCCAGCCATCCCAGGCAGTTCATCATGAACGAGCCTGGCCCACTGCCTGACCAGACAGAAAAGGAGAAGATGACTGCCTGAGGGCGGGGAAGAGCTCCAACTGTGATGGGCCTGGCAGGCCACTGGATGCCACTGGTGTTCCACTCGCAGGCTGGACCAAGGCCTGGAAGCTTCCTCATAACCGCACAGGGGAGACCTGCTTCAGCCTCCCTCATCCTATCCTGGGTGGAAAGCATTCGTTCAGGTGACTGCTGTTCCCTAAAGGGGAGTGGCTCAAGTCACCATGAAGGAAGAGCCCTCAGGAAAGCTGAGGATGACCTGAGTTCCCCATAGAGTCCCTGATGCCCCTGGGACTCCTCTAGCAGAAACCATGCCATCCTGATGGAGTGGGAAAGCAAGATTTCTCTGGATTCTGCTTCTTCTAGACAACCTGCACTTCTGGTTTCATGTGATAAATCTGGCGATGTGGAAAAACACACGGGTTTCCTTAAGTGACATAGTTTCCAATGGATCCAGCCAGCCAATATTCAGCATGGCATGGGAGAAAACCTACCTTTTCGTTTCTTAAAATCAAATTTGCTACAGATAAGTAAAGCTATTTTCATTTGCAAATGACATGATCTTATATGCAGACACCCCTAAAGAATTCAAACCTTAAAACAACAACAACAAAAACCCCCACAAACCTAAGAAGGCTAGAAAAAGAGTTCAACAATGCTGTAGGACACAAGGTTGATAAGCATTCTGTACAGTAAATGGATGATTAAAGGATAATCAAGCAATTGATTTTATAATAACACCAAAAGGAGGAAAAAGCAAAGCAAACAAACAAACAAACAAAAACCCAAACACTTTAAGTTAGGCATTGCACTATCACCTTTGGAGACAAGAATTCTCGTTTCCTCAGAAAGGAATATCCTACGGCCCTATTCAAGCTTTCCTGTGGTGCCAACGCCTCACAGGTTCCTGGGGCTCATGCATGCCAGCCCTGATTCACTTTGACAACATGACTGTGTCTTGCCTCTTATCCTGGAGTTTCCTCTTTGTATGTAGCTCATGCACTCCGGCCCATGAAGCCTGGAGGGGGAAAGGAGTTAAATCCCCTGGAGACAGGAGCTAGTGGACAGTCATTGCCTCTCCACCCCAGCCGCCAAGGCAGTGCCTTGAGTGACTCAGGGTTCACAGCCTTTCAGAATGCTGCATGGCACTGCAGCAGTTCCTCCTACCCAGGGGAGACCAGGACGTGGGAGCATCCTCACACTGGCTCTTTCTTGCCCTCAGTTACTCCTCTTGGTCCCCAATTCTGCTTCATGGGATTTTACTCCTGTGACATACTAATACAAACTTCTGGTTCTGTCTGGAGAGAAACTCAAGGTAAGACCTCCATCAAGGGAAGTGGGAAGGGCTGCTTGCCACATAAGCGCAAGGCCTTGAGTTTGGGCCTCAGAACCCGTGTTTGTTTGTTTCCTTATTTCTTTACTGTGATTAGCCTAATGGGCCACTGGCTGCCACTGGAACTCACTCAGGGAGGCTGGAGCAAGGCCCCGAACTGGGATTGGTGTTACGTGCTTCTAACACCAACACTAGGAAAATGGAGGCTGACAGATCCCTGTCCCGTAGGGCAGGTGAGCGCCAAGTCAGTGAAAGGCTTCAGTTCAACAGCTCCAGTTTGGTGCCACAGCACCCACATCAAACAGTTCATAACAATGTACTTGTGCCACTCCAAGGGATCCGACACAGGCACCTACAGCCGCTGTACACAGCCACACAGACGTGCCATTAAAAACAATAACCTTTTAAAACTAAGAAACAAAACAAACGGAAATGAGAATGATAAATCGACAATTGCTTACCTCAGGAATTACACTCCCCAATTAGGTCCTGTTTCTCCCCATATAAATCTGTTCTCAGCCACTGAGAGGGAAAAGGAGCCTGAAACTTGAGCAGCTGTAGGGTTAGCACAAGTCTCCTGTACAGAACCAAGGTCAAATCTGGATCCACCTAGTCTACCGATCTCCATGTTCACCAATAACGTATTTACTAACTCATCCTGTGCTGGCATTATCCAGACCCTGGGTCCCACCACGCCTGTTTTCAGGTAAATCCAAGCTACATATTAGTGAGAATAAACTGAGGCTGAGAAAAACCACACATTTCTGTAGAGATATCAGAGTGTCAGCTATGAAGCCTAAATAATAATAATAATGATGATGATAATGATAATAATCATAGGTTTCTACATCATTGGTCCTTCACAGATAATGTGAAAAAAGAATGCAGTTGTCAGCATGAATAAGCAAAGAAATGTAACGACCTTGTTGGTTTACCTCCTTGGGTAGCAAAGGTGATGCTGATACCAGCGTATTAGCCGGGATAAAATTCTCGTGCTGAATTGTACTGGCCACTTCTGCTGCTGCCCTTTAGCATGCCTGCTCACTCACACAGCCTTCTGGTGGTGACTCAGCAGCTGTTCCAGAGGAACAGTGCTTCCCCCGAATCTTCTTCCTGAGTGGCCAATAAAGCAAACAGCCTTCCTATTCGGGGCGCCTGTATTACCCAAGTAGAGATTAGAAAAGGGTTTCCTGTCTTGTTCTTCCTTTTTGCTCTTTCGCTATGACAACTGTAAATGACATCTCAAAGATGCCATCTGCCTCTAGCCTGTGCCATGCTCTGCACAGATGGGACCAGATCTGATTATAGAGACGCCAGATATCCCATCCCAAAGAATAGATGTCTTTTCCCACCAAGTACTGACAAACAAGTTGAAAAGACTTACAAAAATACCAGGTGTTAAATGCCTGCATTAATGCTGCCCTTTGAAAATACAGCACTTGGTAAAATATACACTAATTCTAATTATGCCAATAATTGAAAAACACATAGGGGCTGACAAGATGACTCTGTGGACAGAGGCACTTGCTAGCAAGCCTGATGACCCCCACATGTGCACAGCAGCAAGCATGTACCCCACACACACACACACAACTAAGTTAACAAATGCCATAAAACCTGAAAAGAAAGGAGGAAGAAATGGCACATATTAAAGTCCTGTTTGGACCAGTCCTTCTCCATTTCCTGCTCATGGCTCACAGAATTGCTACCCAATGCCAAGCATCCTACCATGTCAAACACTGGACTTCGAAGAAGACTAGACCAATAATTCTTCCCCCAAGGACCATGTTGCCTAAAGGAAGGAGCAGATGCACACACAGGCAAATTGCAGCTCAATAGCTTTGTCCCAGGCTACATGCAAATATGAAAGGGTACAGAGCAGGAAGACAGCAGCTCTCCCTGGAGGACCTGGGAAATTCAGTTTCATGGTGGGGACAGCCTTGGAAGATAAATGGCTGCAGAGCAGGGAGCAGGAAGAACAGCAAATCTGAATATCAGGCCAGTGAAAGGGGGAGACAGGGAGGAGTAGTGAGGGGGAAACGCCAGGGAGAACAGAAGTGAGGCTGCAGAGGAAGCACAGGATGGGGAAAGGCTTTCCTACCAGACTGAGGACAGACATGTCCCTGAACAGAGACGAGCTGCAGCATAATGATGGGGACGTTTTCCATTTGGAAGGAAGCACTAGACTACAGAAGAACCGGAGGTCATAAAGTAGAATATAATACTATTTACTCAATGACAACTATATGTCAGGCTCGGACTGCTTCTCACAGTCCTGATCTCATTTTCCCAGCAGTCATAAGCAGCAATAATAAAAACAATAAGGGTTGAACATTTATTGAGTTAAAACTCAATATGGACCAGCGAGTATGCACAGGACTTTACCCTTCCAAATACCCTGATGACTGGACATCATCATGTTCATTCTACAGTCCTGAGGCTTGGATGTTAAGTAACTTGCAAGGGTCAGACAGCATGAGGGACCGAGTCCAGACTCACAATTAGACGGGTCAGACCCTGCCGCTAAGAGCCTTTGTGCTGAAGTAGTCAAGAGGCTACGAGATGAAATTGGGCTACTATTATGAAACAAGAAACAGTTCTGAAGAAGATGAATGGGAGGTGAGGGGGAAGGACAGAGGAGTCCAGGCTGACTGCCAGCCTTGGAGCTCAAGAGGCTGAATGAATGCCCCTTCACTGCTCTCCTCAGAGACACAAGAGGCAGAGCAGGCCTGTAAGAGAGAGCAAAGAACTGCACTGAGGACACGTGAGGTATGAGTTACCTGCTGACTGTCCAATGGGAAAATAGCCCAAAAGCCATGGATTTGTGGTGGGCGAAAGTAAGACACCCAAGTAGGTCAAGGAGAGGGCATCAGTGGCAGCGCACCAAGAGAACTGATATCCAAGGAGTCCCGGGGACAAGGGCAGGAAAGAGGGCAGGAGGGGCCACTAAGAACATATGCCCAGGGGGTGAAGGAAAGAAAGGCCATAAAGGGTGCGGCCTCCTTTCATCTCATCTTCTTCACTCCGTCCAGGCAGGGAGGGTTTAGCTGTCATTAAGGCCAAGCCGCAAGGCCAGCCTCCCTGTTTCTCAAGCTAGCAAAGGCCGCCTCCCTCTCCCCCACCCTTTATCTGTTTTTCCTTGATAAAATGCCACTCTGTCGTGCTTACACTTGGGGTTTGACCTTGGACAGAAGCAGGGAGAGCAAGAATTGAGCCTGTCCAGTTGTAGGACGTATAAACATCTCCAATTCGACACAGAAAAGGGCCCCCCAAGGTCCTACTGACTCTGCCCTAGATTTGGGATAATAAAGTACTTGGGCTTGCTTTGCTTTGTCCATCTGTGACGGGTGGGGACTCACACAAATATACTATGTGTGCACACGTATGATACACATATGAACACATGTCTTCATACGTGTGTGCTTCTATGGATTTTGGCAGCTGTTAATACTTAGTATTTATCTGTGCAGCACTTAACTGTTTTGTAATTACTTAGTAAATGTCCCACTTCTCAGAGTGAAACTTTATCATAGCAAAAACTGTACTTATCTCTCTAAAGTTAACAAATGCCTAAGACAAAGACAATCATAAAGCATTTTTATTTCTGGTGGATCGGTTAGATGAATGAATGGATGATCCACAACAGTAAAGTTAGAGAAGGAGGAGGACAGAGCATGGATTTAGCAGTGGTCATTCATAGGGGAAGGGAAATGGATGCCTAATTTCCCCTTGGCAGGCTGAGATAAAAAAGGGAAGGAAGGGACTACGTGTACCTAGATTTTCAGAAGACTCTGTACAAGGTTGGGGACCAGTCTGGGTTACTCTCTCGATTTACAATTTGGGACCCTTCTTTACTTTTGAAAACACTGCAAGAATAAGTTCAGGTGGGTAAGTTCAATATCATTTCCAGTCTAAACAGTTCCTGATTCCAAAAGAGAAACAATAATCTCATGACACAGCTCTGAGGCCATTTCCAAACAGAGTGCAAAACAAGCACACTTTGATGACAGCAGCAACAAAGGTGTCTGCTACAGTCTAATTCTTCCCTTTGTAGTGTGAAGTTCTAGGTTCAAGTCATGTAAAGTGGGTAAAAGTGGCATGCCTAAGTTCCTAAGGTGAATTACATATGCACATGAACACATATGTGTTTATTTGGGTATTAATTTCTTAATGCACATTAGGAAAACTACATCTAGTTCAATAGAGTCATGATATGCCACATTTTACAAAGAATCATTGATCAGTGCATTAAAACTACAAGTTTAGATTGTTTGTCAGGCATGGTGATATATGTCTATAGACTTAGCTGTTTGGGAGGCGATGGCAGGAAGATCTCTTGAGAACAAGAGTTTGAGACCAGCCTGAGCAACATAGCAAATCTCCATCTCAAATGTGCCTTTATGTGTGTAAAATGTGTATGTGTGTGTACTGTGTGTGTAATTTTAAGAAACAAGCTATGTAAATTATGTCAAAGTTCATCAGGCTGGTATGCAAATAGTTCAAGCTTGGGAGAACAGGAAGTGTGGGACTCCAGGGCTCCCAGACTTGAGTTCAAATCATAACTCCATCAAGCACTAGTTACAGAATGATCCTAAGAAGATTGCTGAACCTCCGTGAGTCTCACATCACTGGGCTATGAACTGAAAATACCTGCTTTACAGGTTTTGAGGGTGAAATGAAATCAAACATTAGAGGCCCCAGGAGAACTCTGGGTATGCAAGCTGGTGTTCAGTGAGCGCGGCAATACTGTTGGAGCCCAAATATTGTACACATATGCAGACCCAACCCAGCCAATGTAGTCATGCACATTTACCCCAGTCAGCCTTTCTTCTCCATTTAAAACGTGCAGAGCTGTAAGTGAGTGCTCACTGGGCTGGCAAGGAGGGTCGACCACCAAGGAGGGACAGAGGGTAAGAGGCGCTTTTGTGGTAGTACCCAGAGCAGGCTATGGGATGATCAACAGTCTATGTTTCAACAAAGTTGTTCTCTCCAAGAGCTGGAGTGCTGGAGTGATCGGAGTGTCAGCCTTGTAATCATTAACCCAGACTCCAAACATGAAAGACAAATGACCTGTGCAGAATGGAAGCCAGGGGCAGCCTTATCAACAAGGGATCAGCCTCTTTGATCTTGACAGAAAACTGACTCACTAATGTGAAGCTTCCACCTCAGGTTTTTCCAGACACTGAAGTAGTTGCCTAATTCCCAGCTGTCTGGAGTTTCCAGTTCAAACTGGCCTTAGAGAGAAAAAAGTCCAACCTCCTTCGGCCCTAGGAAAAAAAGTCCTACCACCTTGTTAGAGTTCATACTCCATTAAAAAACATTACAGATCTGTGCCACCAACACAGGGCTTCACACATACTTTAAAGTAATTAAAAACAATCCATGTACAGAGAGTTTACTCTCCCCAGTTTGGAATAAAACACAGAAGAATAGAAAGAGGGGTAAATGGAGGAAGGATGATAGTGGGGAAAGAAGCTGTAAGTGAACACTGAATACAGTAAGTATGGAATAGACGGGGGGGGGGTCCAGATGCCAGTAAAGACGCTGATGAAAAATGGGGAAGAAGAGGAGGGGCAGCTAAGCAAGAGCCATGACAACCAGCATCTCCTCGCTCCGTTTCCAGAAGCTTCTCCAGCCCGCCGTGCCAGAGAGGATCTGCACAGAAGCATGAATTAATCAGCGTGTAAATCACTCCCTTTATCTGAGAAAATCGAATTTAGCTGCCAGTCCTGATTGAGGGCACACAAGCCTCCTCACAGAAAGAGCCTAGCTCCCAGGGAGAATGCCTTTTTCTCTCCTAAAATCAAAGCTTGCATAAGCCCATGGAAACAGCTGCAGCTGGAACCACAGACTTAGTGAAAGTGGAGGGCTGAGGACAGTAATTATAATTAGCAGTTATATAACATGTTTGTTCTTCAAAGTGCTGTACAAGGATCGGCTAATTAATAGCTTACTGTGCCCCGTCTAGCTCCCCTGGTTTTTCAGGTAGTGACTAATCCTTGTGCCGCCACTGGACTCTGAACGGTGGCAGCAGAGGACCTTGAGCAATGAGACAAATGGCAAAGGGGCCACAGCTATCCCCGCTCCCTAACAAGTGATTCCTCAGGGAACAGGTTTCTGGGAGAAAGCTGTCTCCCTTTCTCCAGCTAAGTCCTGGAGGTGCTGCTAGAGATGCGGTCATGAGCTAGAGAGTCCGTTAGTCTAGTTCAGTTCATCCTCAGGGAAACCAGAAGCCCCAGCCCTGGAGCCCTCGGTCTTGCTGCTGGCTTGTCCTTGCTCCTTAGCTCAGCCAGTGAGACATCTGCAAAACAAGGGTTCTCAGCCTCTGTGTTTCCTCACTCTGTACCCTACATCTTTTGCATTTATAATGGTGATAACTAAAAGGAAGAATTTTCTACCCACTCCAGGGATTTCTTACCCACAGGATCCAGCAGTCTATGATGCTTTGAATTTCTTTACAAACCATTGCAGGGACATATGAATATGCATTTCCTTGGGGAGGGGTCTGATTCTTCTACCGCATCATAAGTTCCAAAAATGTAGAGCTTCACACATAGGGCACACAAAATACATATCTTTGGGATGAATGGGTGAGCAGAATGGATATCATCAAATTTCTGTCTGTCAGGGATGGGGAGATGACTCAGTCCACAGGTGCTTGCCACACAAGTGTGAGAAGCCAAGTTTGACAGCCAGAACCCCGTAAAAGGAAGGCATGGAGGCCTACTGTGGTAGTCCTAGTGCTGAAAACACAGAAACAGGCAGATCTCTGGGGTTCACTGGCCAGCCAGATCAATCTAACTGGTAAGCTCTGGACCAATGAGAGATCTTGTCTCAAAAAAAAAAAAAAAAAGTGGCTGGACCCCTAGTAACAACACCTGAGGCTGACGTCTGTCCTGCACACCTATACACACAACCAAATGCACCTACAGAAACGTACTTACACACACACAGAAAATAGAATTTAAAGTGCACTTTTATATATAATAGAATATTTCTCACCTCTCAAAGGTGAGGAAAATGACATATCCTCCATTGGTGGTATACCCTAAAAATACTATGCTAAGTGAGATAAGTGACACTGGAAAAAACCTTCAAGAACTATATGATTCTACTCCCATGAAATGCCTACAGCTGTCACATTCCTGTGAGACAGAAAGCAGAATGCAGGATACCAGGGTCTGTGGGGAAGGAAATGGGAAGCTCCTGTTTTAAAAGATGAGATGTTCTGGAGACTGGTTACACAACAATGCGCATATACATGACGCCAGCGACATATATATGCGAAAAGAATCAATGTGATGCATTTTTTATTTTGACACAGTTAAATAAAACAACTCCTTTGGTCATCTTTTGTCTGAAAAGCCGTCATGTTATATATGTTAAGAATATACTTCTCTGCTGGGCTCGGTGGTGTATGCCTGTGATCCCAGCACTCAGGGAGGCAGAGAGGCAGGCAGATCTCTGTGAGTTCAAGGCCAGCCTGGTCTACAACTTGAGTCCAGGACAGCCAAGACTACACAGAGAAACCCTGTATTGAAAAACAAAACAAACAAAGAGTATACTCCTCCAAGAAAATGATTCATAAAACAGATTTTCTCAGCTGGCTAAGGAGAGAAGGCAAACAAACAAACAAACAAAAGAAACAAAAAACAAAACCAAAAAAACATAGTGAATTATGGTGTTTCAAAAGATGGATGTGTAAAATATTTCATTTTCCCAACCCACCTTCTAAATCATCAAGAGTAATCTGACAATCCTAAAGCCAGATGCCCACCCGCATAACCAGCAGAGGCAGGCAGCTCTACCCTCTGCCCCCTTGGTGCTATGTCTCAGGTACCAGGGGCCCAGCAGGAAGGAATCTATACCTGTGCATGTGTAAGTGCTTTCACTCCAGGAGCCTTTCTCTGTGCAAACCGAAGTGATGTTTCCTCCAGGACTTTCAAAGCCCTCCTGACAGACATAGCGAGCCACACCCCCGAGGCTGGAGCTGTGATTCCCCACCAAGATGGCATTCTGAACTGCAGGAGGACTGCCACAGCTGATCTCTGCAACGAGAGGTAACAGGACAACAAAGATGAGCCGGCTCCATCCCTGCAATTAGGATCTCAGAAACAAATGTTTCATGATGACAGAGGCCCTTCATTTGGGAAACGAGAAAACACATACTCCCTCAAATAATTCAAATGTGATTATATAAAATCAGGGTTGTCTAGAAGCATAGGAAACTGGTGAGCCTGAGTTTAATAAAATTTTCAAATGTACACACAGAAAAAAGAGCCAAATTATGAGATGGCTTATGTATAGCGCTTGTCTATGAAATAATACTTAGGGCTCTTTACACCCCGAAGTTCTTTAGAACTCTTTACTATGTATCTTCAGTTCCTTAACTCATGAGTAGATGATAGTGCAATTGTAGCAACTGTTGTCAACTGGACAGCAAATAAAATATTACAAAATCCTTGACATTCTCAAAGCAGAGCGAGCACAGAGTGTTTGTCTTTCTACACTCGCATCACGCACAGCCCTGGGAGGGAAAAGCACTTGCAAAGAAGCGGACAGATCAGAAAGCATTAAAGTGACTTGAAGTTTTTTCTGCAATCTTTAAAAATAGTGGGCTGCCGGGCACAGTGGCGCATGCCTGTAATCCCAGCACTCGGGGAGACAGAGGCAGGTGGATTGCTGTGAGTTCGAGGCCAGCCTGGGCTACAAAGTGAATCCAGGACAGCCAAGGCTACAAAGAGAAACCCTGTCTCAAAAAAAAGCAACAATAAAAAAGATAGTGAGCTATTTACACAGAACTTTACACAGAAGAAGAGCATGACATGGCCATTTCAGATCCAACTAAAGCAGACTTCAGAGCACAAAAAAGTTTTCTTCAGAGACTTTTAGCTTTCAAAAAAATCTTGTGTAGCTCTTCCAACAAAAATTCAGACGTACTTAATAAAATATTGACTTAAAAACTACTTGTAAGCCTGGCACTTGGCTGAGGTCCAGCAACTGAAGGTTTAAGGACAGCCTGGGCTGCAGAGCAAGACACTCTCCAAACCAAATGCATGCTTAGTGAACAGACCATTTCGCCTCTGCCCCTGCCCTCTGCCTGCAGACAGTATTCATGGCCCTGAGTTTCGTTCAGTTTTCTTCTTTACACTTCACTGATGGGGATGACTCCAATGAGGGGTTCACTTCTAGATCTAAGCCCACTTTCCCAACATCTTTTTGGGGCCTTTTTGAAAAATCATTTTAGATAAAGGACATAAAACATACAAATAAATATGAATGAATATGCAGGTCTGTCTTAATACTGAAACATCAGAAACAACTCAGATGTTGAAAGATGAACTCAGATGTCAAAAGAGAACTGGGTGCTTGGTGTGGTGGACTGCCTATAATCCCAACACCCAGGAAGACAGTGATGCCAGCCTGGGCTGCAAAAGGCCCAGGAGGAGATAGAGGAAATTAGGCAAATAAGCTACAATGCTCTTGAGCAGTCATAAAACGACCAGAAAGATCCATACACTAGTAGAGACGATATCCGTGACACACTAGTGAGTCCGCAGGTTTCATCTGTACAATACACAGATGTCTCTTTTGCATGGTTTTCCCTTTCTTTGATTTCAAAATTAATTACATACATATGCTGAGCAGTGGATTGTATATGCATTTCAAAAATACATAGGAACTTGAAAAATACTATTTATTGTCTGTTGACAGACTCTTACAGTTTCAACAACAACAAAATTCAAAAGTAACCCAGTTTGACGAGAACACAAACCAGAAAAGGTCTAGATCTTCAGAAATGGAGCAGACAGGTCTTGGGTAAATCATGGATGAACAATGAATTTGGCAAGGTACACAGATCAGTACTATTTAAACTGGACGACTGATTTGATATTCTTAAATGACTTTACAGGTTGAGTAACGTAAGACAATTAGCAACAGAAACACCGTTCCAAAGGTTTTCAGTGAGACTCGAGCAGTGAGGTCTAACGGACAGGTGAAGCTAAATCTGTCACTGATGCAGCAGTCAGCCGTTCACAGGGAACAGCAATAAAATAGGAACACTGGGACCGTCGTTCATCATTTGCGTGGCAGAGTGAGCTAGTAACACACCTGAACTTCCATGCCCATCTCCTACGCCACTAAACAGAGAGTAATGGCGCATGCCATCACTGTCAAAGCCGCCCTGAGCAGAAGGATCAGAAGCTCAAGGTAAGTTAGGTAATGCATGCTTTTAATCCCAGCTTGGGAAACAAAGGCAGGAGGATCGCTGTGAATTCAAGGACCACTTGTTCTACATAGTGAGTTCCAAGTAAGCCAAAGACATGAAACACTCTCAAAAATAAACAAATAAATAATATAAGTTCAAAGTCATTCGGTCTCAACACACGCACACACAGAGAGAAAGAGAGAGAGAGAAAGAGCAAGAAGAAAAACTATAAGAATCCCATATGTAATCAGTAATCTCAGCTGCACCTAAAAATGAAAAGGGAAAAAATATCCTTGTGCTATTCATTTTGATTTCAAGTTTTCTACTTCATGTGTAGAAAGCCAGGAAAAGCTGCCATTCCTGACATCCACACCTTTAAAAATAAAAAATTCACTTATTGAGCTAAAGCATTCAAAATAAAGAAAATGTACATGATGCTCCCACATCCCCCTCAGCCATGCTTGGCTGTAGGAACAGGCAGTCTCAGGAAGCCTGCTGTACAAGCTATCAGCCCAGTCACCTGGGAAGGTGAGGCAAGAAGGGCTGTCTGAGCTGCACTGTGAGTTCAAGGCCAATGGGAAAATAAAGAAAAAACTTATTGCAAAATAAGAAGTAAATGTGGGCCAGGGTTATAGCTCAGTGGTAGAATGCTTACCTAGCATTCACAAGGTCCTAGGTTCAATCCCCAATGCCAATAAATGAATAACTAACTAACTAAATAAATGAATGAATAAATGAATGAATGAATGAATGGAAGACACGCTGGAGGAGGCTTCTCTTAAATCCTTGATGCAGAATTGGTGGAACTTGCTCTTCTCTGCCTCATTACAGATGCTTGGGCTTGTTGTAAGGCCTAGAATTACTTTCCTAAGAGACTCTTTCCAAATAAGAGTCTCATCTGTTGCCATTGGAGTTATCCAAAGATCTGTAATAAGTACAGCAGCCAAGCCCACCTCATTGGTTTCCTGACTGAGATTTAGCTTTCAGTCAACACCAACTCAAATCACAGGCAGTTATGGGCCCAGAATGAGGCAGTCACTTCCTAGGTCCCATGTTTGCTCATAGGGCTCTGTTTCTTTTCATGCGTGTTTAACAGACACGAGACCCCTTGGCCTTCACTGTGTTTTTCCAGCAGCAAACACATTGCAAGGCATCAGTATCGTTTGTGTGCGCATGAACAGTCAACCAAGCGAGTAGCTAATGCTTTCTAAGACTGTCCAGTCACTCACATACATCTAATTTAAGCCAGGATTCAACTAGAGCATGTAAGAGAAGAAATAAAAAAACAAGGGCTGAAAATTGAAACACTAATGAAGAACTAGAGTTGAAAATGCTGCTTTCAATGTGCCTTCAGTATGGACTCGTAAAGGTCTCAGCGGTGAGGTTAGGAAAGAAACCCAGCAACAGATCATTGAATTATTGAGGAATGGATGTTCTAAGAGAATAAGAGTATGGAAAACAACGAGGTTGGTCTCCATCTTAAACATATTCAAGAGCGATGAAGGGCTTGATGACTTTAGCTGTGCTTGCAAGAAGCTTGTAATTAATAGCTAAAAAAATTGCCAGATTGATGGGAAATGATTGGCTTGGTCTCTAGAGAGGAAGATCAAAGGCAGATGGTACCTACAGCTCTGTGAGTTCCCATTACTGAGATGTTCAGGCTGCACAATCCCTTGGCAGAAGATATTTAGAAAAACTGTGTGATCTGGACGAAACACACTGTTCTAAGCATTTATCAAGAATCACCCAGGGGGTGTATGGACGTGTGCGTGTTGACTATTGGGGCTTTAATGTGCAATGGCAAACATGTAAGCCCCATGTTTGAAGCCTTTTTCTCCAGCCAGTGGCACTGTCTTGGGAGCTTGCAGAACTCTGGGGTATGGTAAGTCCAAGGCGGGAGACACACATTACCTGGCAAAGGCCTAGCTTCTGGCCCTGCTTCGAATCCCTTCAGCTCTCCAACCCTCCAATATAGAAGGTATGCCACCAGCTCATGGCTCTTGTGGACAAAAGTAGCTACCACGCCTTTGACACCGTAAAGGACTATTTCCCTTGAAACAGGATCTAAAATAAATCATTCTTCCCATAACTTATTCTATCAGTTGTTTTTGTGGCAGCAACCAGAAAAGTAACACAGAAATCAGTGCCAGGAAGTGATGTCGCAGCTGTAATAAAGTTGACTGTGTGGTTCATAGGCCTTCTGAACTAGCATTTTGGACAAATGTTGAAGAATTTGAAGCTCTGGATTAGAGAAGCCTTAGAATAGAGCTTAATGGGTCATTCTGGTGGCAGCTGGGAAGACCAGAACACCAAGAGTCGTGCAGAGAGCTAAGGCCCAGACCATCAAGCTTCAGAGGGCAGGGCTTCTGTGGAGCTAGGGGCTAATTGTGTCACAATCTGTTGAAGGGTCTAGTTCTACCCAGACCCCAAAAGTTTGAGTGAGGCTGAATTTGAAAGTATTATATTAATTTGTTTGCTAGAGAAAGCTTTTTAAGATGTCGTAACATCAACGGCGGCAATGCTGCCATTCATTTATTCTAGCTAGATTTATAGTTAGAATATAAATATAATACTATAGAAAAATATTATATTATTTATACAATATTTGAGATTGAAGAGCAAAGACTATACTTTCAGGGATCGTTCCTATAGCTCATTACTGGAGATTTAAAAGCAGAACAGAAAGAAGTTTTTCAAGTGTGCTCTTGGCAGAGAAAGAGAGACATGCGGATGTGGACAAAACAGTAGTTGTCAGAAGAACACCATTAAAATGAAGCCTCAAACTCTGGGTAAAGGCACAAAAGATGTGGTACCTTTCAGAGTGAGATCCCACTCAGC